GCTGTCTGGGTGACGAGAAGCACCTGGTAGGGACCTTGCCAACGATTGGATTTCCAGCTCTTTCTCGGGAAATCCTTGACCAGCACGAAGTTGCCGGGTTGGAGATGGTGAAGTGGACCAGTGGCAGTCGCTAAAGTGGATGGCAGGTTAACACAATATGACAACATAGCATCCTCACACAAAGTTGTGGAGGGAAGAGGACATCCTGGAGCCTTGAGTCCAATCTGTGGAGGAGCCCCAAAAAGGATTTCAAATGGGCTGAGTTGACTCCGTGTTCTTTTCCGCATCCGCATGTACATCAGCACAATGGGCAGAGCTTGTGTCCATGACAGACCTGTGTCTGCACAGCATTTTGCTAGTTTGTTTTTTATTGTGCCGTTCTCTCTTTCCACCGCACCCCCACTCTGTGGATGGTGCGCATAATGCTTTCTGATGTCCATGCCCAGGTATTCTCCTTTCTGTGCAATGGCCTCATTAGCAAAATGTGAACCGTTGTTCTAATTCAAAGGTTGTCGCTAGACATTTTTTGTCTGGTAGTCCCCATCTAGGATTGATTTCCCTCAGTAGTGCCTTTGCCACAGCATTTGCTGTCTGTGCTTTTACTGGGAAAGCTTCAACCCATTTGGACCACATGTCAACCACCACCAGACAGTGCTTCTTACCCTCTGATGGGCTAAGCTCAATGAAATCCAGCATTAGGTGCTCAAATGGCCTGGTGGGAGGTGGATGTGCTCCGGGTCCTGTAACCTTTACTGGTCTACCAGAATTTTGCATAATGCAAATTAGGCATGCTTCACAGTGCTTTTGAGCTGTTACTGTGAACCCCCTTTTGAACCACTCCTGATTGATAGACTCTAACATCCCCCCTTTTGACACATGATCCAACCCATGTGTCAACTTAGCAAGATGAGGGAAGAAATGTCTTGGGAGACATGGATTGGAATTTGGACCAACCCAGATGCTGGAGGTTGGGTCAAAAACAGCCCCAGCAGCCTTCCACTGAGCTTTCTCAACTGGTGTAGCGAGCTGCTGCATGGAAGTCAGTGATGACATTTTGTCAGTGAAGGAGGAGACAGGGATTTTAACAAATGAGTGTGCGTGAGGTGCAAGAGGAATCAGAGCAGCTGCCTTTGCGGCTGAGTCAGCAGATAAATTAGCGGACCCAATTTCTTAGGGAAACTGGGTCTGTACTGCTTGCGTGTGCGGCACATTTACAGACTGCAACCTCAGATGGGAGCAGAATGGCGTCTAGTAAGCCTGCAACCAGTACATGGTTAAGTACTGGTTTGCCATCAGATTTCAGAAATTGTCTACACTTCCAAATAGCCCCAAAATCGTGTACTACCCCAAAAGCATAGCGTGAGTGAGTGTAAATAGTCACGGTTTTGCCTTCTGCAAACGTGCAGTGCACGTTCAGGCTTCAGTTAGTGCTCTGCTGCTTGTGCTGAGAGGTGACATGGGATTTGTCCGGAACGGAGTACAGCAGAATCTGAAACAACAGAAAAACCCACCCGATTAGTGCCCCCTTGGTCGCGAAAGGCAGACCCATCAACATACAAAATGAGGTCAGCGTTGGTCAGAGGAACGTCTTTTAAGTCCGGTCTAGGTGTGCACACCATGAGAAGTTTGTCACCGTCTTCAGGCAAAGGCATAAGAGAGTTCTTACACCTTTTCCAAAGTCAAATTCAAGCACTTTTCAAGCATTTTCAAGCATCTTACAGCTGTTGTAAATTACATATTTATATGCACATACTCAAATGATTATTTCCCTACCTCACATTAACTCAGATGTTCTTTATGCTATAAACAACCAAATGTGTGTTTCGTGATAGCATTCTACACGAGGACGAAAAATTAAAGAAAAGAAAACTAAGTTTAATATTTCAAAATGAGTGATCTGTACGTCTAAAAACGAATTCAGGCGACCTTTCACCTCCACTTAATTAAATGCATGGTTGCAAGATAAAAATGTGAGTTAATTGAGATAAAAAATTTAAGTTGCAACATTAATTTATAAGTTGTGTTGACGTAATAATGTTGGTAATTACATCAACTTAATATTGTGTGTCATTTGAACTCTGATTTCTGCATTAATTGACTTCAACCTAAATTCAAGTTGAAGTAAGTAATGCAATTGGCTTGATAACTTATTTGTTCTACACCTTGAGTTAAGGATTTCAAGTCCACTCCCACTTAAGATGCCTGGACAATTTCCCACAGTTAAGACAAATAGAAATATACAAAGGACATTTTAAGGTGAGTGTCATCTTTTGTCATTCAAATACAACTTGAAATTCAAACTCTCCTGATTGAAACATCATGTGTTGAAATAACCAACTGCAGTTTGAAAATAAAAAGTGAATTGCCTAATATTTTTGTTGTGGAATCAATTCATTTCTTTCTTTAAAGGCAAAACATGGAAAAGCTAAGAGAAAAACCCTATTGAATACAATATTATTTGGAGAGGAGAACACGGAGTCAACTTAATTTACAAATGGCTGTCAACTTAAAAACATCTGTCCATGTTCAACACTAGTAATTAAGTATATACAACTTAAGATTACATTTAAATCATACGGTGAAACAAGTTGGAACGTTTGGAGTAATCAACTTAAAACTTGTGTTTATGCTACCAATTATTAAGTAAGTGGTAATTGAAAACACCTCTGATTGTAGAGGAAAAGCCTTCTCCCCTAACTCAAATAACTTTGTTGCTTTAACAAAATGTCATTAGAAGTTGTCTTAACTCAATAACCATCGATGCAACCTATTGCCTTGATTTTCTTTGTTAAGCCAAGCATTTGTTTTTAGAGTGTACGTAGACTGGGCCTCCCATATAACCTGGCTGAGCCGATATAAAAACAATCAGCCAAATAACTTTTCAATACATTATTGATTACTATTCTTTTAGGTACTTTTAGGTTGGCAGTGAACATAAGTCAGAGGTACATGGTGTACTTTTCCTTCACTACATGTATTTAATACCTTTAGTTACTTCACAGATCTGGATGAATGATGTGAAATCTAATCAAGTGTTAAATCAGACTTTAGTTCCACCTGGAGTAAATCCACCAGCTACCCTGCGGTATACAAAGCCATTCAAACTAGCTGCACCTTTACCAGCTTTGAGAACACTTTCATGATCAATCATTATAAAACATATCATATATATTATTCTGAAATGGACCAATCTGCACAACGAATACTTTTACTGTATTATATTTTGATAATACTTTTCTACTTCTTCTTGAGGAACATTTTGAATGCAGGACTTTTACTGTAACACTCTGGTACTTCTACTTTTACTCAAGTACAAGATCTGAGTACTTATTCCACCTCTGGTAGTGTATTAGTCTGAATTATAGCTACAAAATCACGCAGAGCTGCATAAAAATAGACTCACAATGGTAACAAGTGGAAAATAATATTTACAAATGTATACAATGATTTGTAGGTAATTTTGACTACTCAAGACACCTGACTTATACAAAGGAAGACTGTGTTCATTCTACAATTACATGAGATTAAAGCAACATGTAGTTTTACTTGTTTAATACTTCCATTTTGAATAAAAGACAGTTTGTTTTCATCTGTTTTCGAATAAACAAAGTATTGGCTTTCAGAATATTAAACTTGTTTCAGCAAATTCAGATGATAAATACAACTTTGAAGCTTGTAACGGCATAATTACAAGCAGAGAACGGACTAATGTAACATCACAGCAAGCATAACAACAGCCGTGTGTTATGAACACATACGCAAGAATAACATCATCTGTCGCTTAGTGACAGGTTTTGGCAGAGCAGCCAATGATGCAATACGCTTATCTGAAAGCGTTTTCCCCTCTCCTGAAATGACATGACTCAAAAATGTAACTGTTCTTTGTACATATTGGAGTTTTGACAAACTGGCCTTCTGGCCTTCGGCTGCGAGGTATTTTAACAAGGAAATGGTATCAGCTCCACACTGTTCTGCTGTGGGTGTGCAAATCATGAGGTCATCAAACTACTGGATGAGAGCAGTGCCTTTAGAAACTTGGAGAGAGGCCAACCTTGTACACAATGCCTGGTTGTACACAGTAGCCTTGACACAAACGTGTGAATGTGTAAGGTTTACCATTATATTCAAATGTGAACAAAATTGACTGTCTTTGTGTACAGGAACACTGAAAAATGCATTTTAGAGATCTGTGACAGTAAAAAAAATTTTGCAGAGGCTGGAACTTGGGAAATAATCAGATAAAGAGTTGGGACGAGCGTGCATGCACAGCTGCATTTACAGCTCGTAAATCCTGGACAAATCTCCACTCGTCAGGAGGTTTTGTCTCTGATCTTTTTGACAGGAAACACTGGAGTGCGTACCGGGGAATCATTACACGGAATAATGACCCCTTGTTTAAGCAGAGAGGTAAACACTGGCCGAATGCCATCAACAGCTTCACGTTTCAATGGGTACTGGGGTTGATTTGGACGGAACGTGGACTTAGGAGTGATAACCACAGGCTCCGCAGAGCGAATTAACCCTACATCATATTTGTGAGCTGCCCAGAGTGAGTATGGCACATCTGAAAGCGCGGCAGGAAGCTCAGAGATATAAGAATTACCTCATCATCCTCAACCAACAGCAATGTGCGCAGAACGGCTACGTTCGTGCACATTTTCATCTTATACACGTCACGTGACATAGAGTACATGACATATTCTGTGTGTGTAGGTGCCCAATCAGTGACTGACTCCCAATCTTTAACGATTGGACCCAAATCCCTCTATCTATCAGTGGGGCCCCTGGCTAGTGAAATGTGTGGACCGCCCCTGGGATTTGACACAGTTTGTGTCGTGTGGGTGTGAGTGCAACAGGAACCAGCGCTGCGCAGCAAACTCCAATACATAGTTTTAAGCATGAGCTCATCATTCACACATTCTAACAGAAAAACTCTCATCATAGCATTTACACGGATCATCAACAACGTTAGCAGTACAATGCAAATGAGAAGCCTCCAGGTGGAAAAACACGTTGATCAGTCAAACGCAACAACGCCTGAGAATCAGGATATGTCAGCAGCCATTGATACACATTCACCAGTTCTTTATCATCAAATGCCAGTTTATAACCATCATAGGAGATGGCTGTCGGACTTTAAGACCCTCATTTGTGGAAAAATTAGGTCTAAGCCGAACCGGAGAATCAGATCTCTGCCCAGTAAATTTATTGGGCAGACAGATGATAAAAGGAAACTGTTTTTGACTGATGTGGCAAATGGATGACTATCATCACCGTTATCTTTACTCTGAAGTGATACAAAAACTTCTCCTTTACAGTTACCCCAGCCGCTCCTATTGAGTGAATAAATCTACCACTAAATTTGCAATCAGGCAAATCTGCCCTTTTTACCACAGAATGTGTAGCCCCAGAATCAACCAAAAAATGGAACATCAACTCCCATGATAGCTAAAGTTAGTGTGGGACATTTCTTAAATGCTGTTTCACTGTCATATTTCAAATATGTACCCTCTTTAACCACAGACATGTCTTCTACATTTTCCAATTACTCAATAGCATGATGTGTGTATGTGTCACTTCCCTGGTTAGATGCTGCTGGCTGAATTTCCGTCTCGCTCGATCGGGCCCCTTCCTCCCCATCTGGTGTAGGTCAGTCTGATTGTGAATGATGGCCCCGTCCTTGCTGTCCCCTTCTGCCTCCACTGCCAGTGTTCTGTGAGCAGTTCCATAATCCAATGCTCAACACTGCCACACTTGAAACATCTTTCGTCAAATGAAGGTCTTGCTTCTCCTCTTCTGCCTCGGAAAACCTCTTCTGCCTCTCCCTCGGTATTGTGAGCGGCCAGCATTCTGCGTAGCTTGCGCTGTGTCTGTTGAGAAAGGCATTACGAGGTGTGTGTCCCAAACACCTGCTTGGGCATCGGGTTTGTTTATCCCGCTGTTGTCCCCATCTACTTGGGGCTGATGGGGGTGGCGAGCTTGGAGTTGACGGACTGCATGGCTGGGGCTTGTAGTGGCGGTGGACGTGGTTGAGGTGGGCCAGCCGGATTGCCAGGGTTGTACCCCGGGGGAGGGAAAGGATACCCAGTCGAGGATAGGTCATTCAGGCCTGCAATGGAAGGACACAGAGATGTCTGGGGTTTACATGGTTTTGGAAATAATTTATTTTCCTTCTTTTCTTTACATTCATCTTCAACCTTAATATTTTCTTTAATGCCCAAGGCCAACTGCCTTCTTTCACGGCATTCTGCTTAATCCTCCCAGTATTATAAACACTTTCTGTGAGTGTCCAGTTTTCTATAAGTATTTTACTTTAACTTTATTTGTTACCCTTCATTCCATCTTCATGTTCTTGTAATTTATTCTTTAGGTTCTTGATTTTTAATTTACTCAAAAAACCTCCCTTTGGAAATCCGAACATTTCCGTCCAGATATTTAATTTAGACAGACTATTTTCACCATTTCTGCTCGCATGACATCCACAGTCGGACCCTCAGGAGGGTGTACAAGCCCCCTACCTGCTTTGCTCCCAAAACAAAGTCTTTAAGTGTTACCAAAACACCTGCTTTGCTCCCAAAACAAAGTCTTTAAGTGTTACCAAAACACCCCGTGTTACCAAAACACTATTTTTTCATCCGTCGATGATGTGATATTTGTTTCACAGTACAAATCACACAAAGACTGATCGTAAACCCAGGCTACGATGGATATCCCAAATATCCTACTTTCGAGCAGTCCCTCTCATAAATGTCATGGAGTTTAATTATGTTTAACTTTAAACAATTTAGACACTGTACATCTCACCGAGTATTGAAAGCCTTTTGAGTTCGTTGGATCTCGTGAAGTCAATCGGTTCCACCCCCGGCGCTGGTCCTCTCGTCCCGTACGGTTTCTGTCGAGGTAGAGGAGAATCCGAGGATCCTGGAGCGACCACCAGCGTCCGTAGGTGTTCCCAATCGAACTTGCAGAGATCCTGCCGACAACGCCAATTGTTATGGAAATTTGAGACCCAACACTGTGGAGAGTACAAGTCAGAGTGATCAAAACAAATAAATGGTGAATCAGACAGAGTTGTCTTTCTGGTTATTTATTTGAAGCTTCAAATACATAAGATACAATACATTTAGACACAGGTCTCACAGAGTATAGAATAGTCTGCGCGAGTGTGCGCAGATATAAAAAATAGCAAAGCTTATATACAAGAAAGAGTGGGAAGTTCAGAAATCTGTCTTCACACGGTATTAGACACCTGGCCTTGAGCTGTAGATAGTATAACGGTTCTCAGAATAGGGAAGTTCTCGTGAGACTTTGTGTGAAGACTTTGTGTGAAGAGGAGTAGTCTCAACATCAGCCAAATCAGCTCTGTGGCCTTGAAGCGCTTGGGAATAAAACCCACAGTAGAGTAGATAGAAGATCTCAGGAAATGAGAAGCATTTGGTTTAAACATATAAGGATATAATACAAATTTCCACTACAAAAGTTATCAATGATTGAGAGTCAGACCTAAACATTTCAGATGTGTGTATCTCACACTGCACTGCAACTTTAATTCATCTACCTTTGCTTTTAAATGAGTGTTTTTAAATGTCATTTCATAATATGTTTCTTAATGCTATTAATGTCTTTCATTTTTGTAAAGCACTTTCAATTGCATTGTGTTGAAATGTGCTGTATAAATAAACTTGCCTTGCCTAGGGTTAGCGATTGAGAAATTCTGGATTTGGCCCTGACCTGTCCATCACTGCTTGCACTAGGTGGACTCACAGTTTGAAGCAATAGTTAATATGGTAGACTGTTTCCTTCTGGATATGTTTGGCTTTTGAATTTGTGACACATTTAATCTAGCTTGCCCGAAATACATTTATTCTTAGTTTTGCAAGTCTATTCCATAGACATTTGCCGCCTTTAGTAAAAGAATATATAATAAATTCTCTCTGGTGACAAACTTTCAAAGATAGAAGTCGGTTTAGTCAATGTCAGACATTTTAGGGGGATAAAAAAAACAACATGTTTTTGAATAGACCCCAATTGTTTACCCCTTCTCATCTTCTGCATTGGTCCATACTGAAAAAAGGACAACCAAAAATAGAGCGGACACGGTGACATAGACGAAAAAGAAAATGATGTCCAATTTTTTAGCCACTCTGGTCCAGTAGTCGGGCTTGCTGCCTTCCTTCCTGCTGAGGAGCAGAGCGGGTCCTTTCACCGCCTCACTCAGCTCATCTGGGTGCTTCTCCAAGGAATTGGACTCCTCCATCAGTTGGCTTCTTTTGTCCTGCAGAGGTTTTTTAGTGGAGTGATCATGGACCATAACAACCATAACAAATTACCAGCTGTTCAATTTGATATACCAATTGTCAAAGAATATTTCTGTCTTTACTTCTAGATATTTAACCTTTCTGCCTGTTGACGTTTACGACCAACCCTGAGTCTGTTATCTCCCGTAAGGAATGTGCTAATGCAGTCATATGGTGTTATTCTCTCTTTATGACCGGTCAACTCTCGGTCACAGAGCCTAAGAGTCAGGCAAGTGATTGAGTATTTCCAGATGTTGGGGGATATCTCCAGTGTTCCCAGTGTTTACGCACCATCCCCCAATATGTGGATTAACTCTCTGTAAACTAGTTAAAAGGTGTATCGAGAGAGAGGCTCGTCAGATTTTACATGGCAATCCACCAGTGCAGTCAGAATCTCTGGCTGCTGTGACTTGTGATGTGAATTTCTCCGGCCGATACTTGTAAATAAACATCAGTGTTTGACATCAAAGCTCCAACTCTCCTCGTGTCTCTCTGAGTCCTGACTCTCCATTGCTGCAGAAGTTTCCCTTACACCAATTGTTGTCAATTGTGGTGAGAATAATTAGTTGGTACTGTAAACAATTTTTATACCAAACTGTTTGTTTTAAGAGTAACCCAATTCTCACCTCTTTGGCCACAGACAGCAGTTCAGATGGCGGTTCATCAGACACATTACATACACAAGCACAGTGAGTCCATTTCTTCACATCTGAAAGGAAATTGTTGACACAGGACAGCAGCATGTTCAAAATAATGTATTATTAATTGTGGATGTTTCTTTGTGTATTCCAAACATATGAGTAAATACAATATAACGATAGTTAAAACCCACAGGTTTAAAGAATGTGTTCAGTCTCACCTCCATCATAGTTGCACTGTTTGTCTCCACAGTCCTCACTCAGGCTGCGGTTTTTATCTGCCTTTCTTTCTTTAGATGCAGAGTCTTTCTCAATCAGATACATCACCACAATCGTCTCCAGAAGGCTGACTATCATCAAACCAAATATCCCAATGCAGTACACCGCTGAAGAGAAAAGGCAACATCATTAAAGTGGACGAAAGGCAAGCCATTGTTGTTCCTGCTTGAATTAAATGAAAGTCCAATAAAATAATGACTCTGAGCTGCTTTACCTATAAGCGGTATTTTGTCTGAAGAGCTAGGCAGAATGTCGTTGAGAATAAGCTGCATCACAGTGACAGCGAGCAGCAAAGTGACCTCGAAGCTGAGCTTCTCTCCCCCGCTGTCAGAGATCACGAAGGAGGCCAAGTCCAGACCGAATAAGAGCAGGACCGGTACCAGGAAGTTGACAATATAGAGGAGAGACCGCCTCTTCATGGTGATCTGTGATCCAAGATGGAAAAACAGTGAATGTGTTTGTTATGTGTTTGTGCCCTGATCAGGCACTCCTAGTGTGATGTGTCATGTCTAGCTGTAGTTTCCTGTTATGGTTTTGTAGTCCTTATCGTTTCCCCTCCAGGTGTACCCATTTGTAATTAACCCAGGTGTGTCTTGTCTCGTCATTACCTCATGTATAAGTATTCTGCCTTCCCCTTTGTCTGGTGCTGATCCTGTCTGTGCAGTATGTGTTCTTGTCTGTCATTACTTTATATTTCCTTTGTTCAACCATGGTGGTAATTATTAATTAAATTCTTTTTTTGATTACTTCGGCTACCGTCTCCTTTATTATGTTGCCTTGACTCGACATTGAGCCTGCTAACAGTCAATGGTAACGTAATAGTGTTCACTAATGCTGCAATGATCAAAAACAATATTTACTATAGGTTTAAGTTATTTTGCATGAAATATGAAAGATATTGCTCCACTGAAAGATGAAGTTTCCTGTTTATATAATTTAAATATATTTTTTATTTTGTCACAGTTGTTAAGGATGATTAAGTGGCCACCATCAAAATGTGCGATTACAATGTATCCAATGAACAACAATGTCAATGGGTTTGCTCTTTTTATTCTGCTGTTTAGAATGCAAGCTAAATAAAACCAGCAAGTGGAGTTGCAGACATTTTCATGCACATTTTTGCAGAAATAAATATAAGTAAAATGTACAACACACTTACAGTATAAATTACAACGTTTTGGTTTTGATGAAAACGTGGGACAGATTTGTCCTCGACTGTCATGCTGATGAACAGCCACTCAGACTCGTTCCTCATCATTTTGCGAGTCCATTCTGTTACCAGTGTATTGTTTTCAAAGAATTCAAACTTCAACTCCTCCTCTAAGATGAAAGTGAAAATACAAGTTTGACATGTCTTATCAGATCAACACAGGATAAATGCATGTGCTGGTGTGTGCTCATGTGAAAATTAGCCTTTAAAGAGATAATTACCACAAACATACATATTTGAGATAAATGTCTAGAATCTTCTGAAAGCTCACCTGGGTAAATGATAGACTTGAGAGACAAGGTGCAGCTCTGAGTATCAAAAGGAAATTTGTAAACTTGCATCCTGCACGAGCTGACCACCATAAGCTCCCTTACATATTGAACGAAACCGTTCGAGTGAATGGTGATAAAGGGATTTGGAACATCCTTGTCCTTCTCTATCCTGTATGACAACAAACATACATTTGTACAAATTATAGCAAACACTTTATGCTTCAAACTGATTTTCACATTGTGTAATACTTTAATACAATGAAACATTTATCTAAATTATTATACTATTGTTTAAGTCTGTATTTTCCTAAAATGTACCCTCATTACTTAAAATATAGAAATACTATCCACACAGTATAACAATATCACACATTTCTATATCTTAAATATGATTAACCCGGCTCAAGTCAGTTAAGGGGTATCTGCTTCATTGTTCAAGGTTCAAGGTTATTTATTTGTCATTACGAACATAGCTACAGAGTAGTTATGTCGATGAAAATCTTAGGTCACAGGCTTCTCCAACAGTGCAACACAATAATACAGAAAAACAGAAAAATATAGTGCAAGTAAATATTAAAAAGTAAATACAAAAAGAATAATAGTTTCAAAAAGTGAAATAGTGAAATAAGAGTCTATGGAAGCTATTGGAATGATATATTAGAGAAATAGATACATAATTACTAAGTAGCAGATGAATGTTATGGATGTTGTTTCAACAGTTCAGGTGTTTAACGGTCTTATTTTCTGTGGGATGAAACTGTCTCTGAATCTGGTGGTTTTAGTCTGGATGCTGCGGTAACGCCTGCCAGACGGCAGCAGACTGAACAGTTTGTGGCTGGGGTGATGGGGTCTTTTATAATCCAGAGGGATTTCTTCCAGAGCCGCTGGGAGTAAAGGTCTTCATGGATAATAATAATAATAATAATAATAAATGATATTTATATAGCGCCTTTCAAGGGACCCAAGGTCGCTGTACATGGTGGACAAACAAAACAAACAGACAATCAACGGGCAAACCAAAGAAATAAATAAAGGAAGCCGGGGGACCAGAAAAGGGCTAGGGCCCGAAGGCCAGGGTGAACAGGTGTGTTTTTAGTGACAATTTGAAGATGTCCAGGGAGGCAGCATTACGGATCTCGGCAGGAAGTGCATTCCAGAGGGTGGAGGCCGCAACACTAAATGCCCTGTCACCAACAGTACGGAGGCGACCGCAGACTCCGAGAAGGGGTGTAGGGATGGAGGAGGTCCGATAAGTACTGGGGGGGCGAGGGTATGGAGTAGTGTTAATTTCGTCAGCTATTTTTTTATTTAGTTTTAGTCTTAGTCCTGTGTTACATTTCCTTTTTAGTTTTAGTCATATTTAGTCACCTTCATCCTGTTTTTATTTAGTCAAGTTTTAGTCGACTAAAAGTCTGAGCATTTTAGTCTTATTTTAGTCAAAGCAAACTAATTATTTTAGTCTACTTTTTGTCAATGAAAACTGTTGAGTCTTTTTTAGTCATCAGATTATATAGAACATTTCAGTCAAACTAGTCTAGCCAAAACCAATAATTTGTCATTTTAGTCAAACGTATTTCACAATAAGATTATATCTTGTCCTTATTTAATGAAAAACACAGATTGAATGATTAAGAAGCTTTGCAGAGAGTATCTTCTCAGGTTTGTGGTGTTTTTGTGTTATGGCCACATTGCTTCCCTTCTGATAAAACAATGCATTCGCTTTTTTTCTCCGCCTCATTGTACCGAAAATGGGCCCAAATATCACATCGTTTCTTTCTCCCAAGCAGTGGTGGCTTTAGACTTTTTCGTTGTCTGTCATTTGGACGGACAGGATCATAATATTTCCGTCATAATCCATTATTATCCGTCGAGTGCACAATTTATCAATCACTCGCGCTGATGGGGGGTATTCGGTTAACGCGAGTGCGACCACTGCTCCCAAGCCCTGTTGTTGCCATTTTATTTTCTGTTAAATAAGGTTAGTTAGACCATGAGTTAGACCCGAGTCTTCTTGACAGTTCATAGTGTGCCGCTGCCCGGTGTAATTCACATCTACCGCCGCGCGCAGCACGGACACACACAGCTGCTGCCCTGCCGCAGCACCGGAAATGAAACTGCTTGGAGAAAAACTGACTATCAGAGATGTAACGTTATCTTTGATAATATTTTGTCTCCTCATTTTTCGTCAACGAAAGTAAAGAGAGATTTTGGCATAGTTTTTATTTAGTAAACTACATTTTCGTCTCGTCACTTTTCGTCAACGATATTGCATGATGATTTCGTTGCAGTTATTAGGCTTGTTTGAGACGCGTTGCGGCTCGCCTCGAAAGTAGACGAGAATAGCCGATCGCAGCCGGGGGAGGTCTCAAAAAGCTTGCCTGAAGTCGGACAGCTCGGAGTCGGCTTCGTCTTCTTCTTCTTCTTCTCTCGGTTTTTTGGCGGATTGCAAACAGCTTGAAGGTGCATACAGCCACCTCCGGAGTCGGCTTGACTCGGTTTGCATTTATAAAGAATGCACACATGTGTTTAATCGTTAATGTCAGATATGTACTAAGTAAATACATTTGTTCCTGCTCAAGATTAGATTCAACTTTATTGTTATTGCACATATTACAGGTACTGAGACAACGAAATGCAGTTTAGCGTCTAACCAGGTGCAACAAGCAGTAAAGTGAAAAGTAATGTACACAATCTACAGAATAAAATATAGAATTAATTGAATGATGAATAAACAGTGAGGGGTATGAATACACTAGATATACACAGCAGCCTGAGAGCAGTATGAACAGTGTGTATGAATATGCTAAGATATATAAAGTATGAAAACGGTAAGCAGTGCAAGTATAGTATAAAATATATGGATATTAATTTAATGATGATAAATATTGTGGAACAATGATGAAAAATGTGAATGGAAGTGGCGACGTAAAACTGACACAAAACAACAACAAACTTTTGCCCAGCCAATTGGAGAGTTTCATTAGCAGCACGTGGAAAAAACCACCAATGAGTGCTCAGCTCGAGATACCAGCGAGTCGTTTCCCATCAAGCATTTCGCTTCCGCAGCCCGTGGAGAGGAACTGCGCCGCCTCGCCGCGCCTCGCTCTCAAGGCTGCGGGCGTCTTTGTCCCGCGAGATTTCAACGTCTCATGTGGGCGAGCCTCCAGAGCAAGTTGGACAAAATGACTAACCATCATGCAACGCACGAGCAAGACGTTGATCGAAATTGCGCAGGTCTGCGCAGGTCTCGCTTGTCTCAAACAAGCCTAGTGTTTACTGCCGTCGGTGCCGTCTCGTCATCGTCTCGTTTTCGTCATGGAAAAAAAGGTCGTTGACGAACATATTTCGTCATAGTTTTAGTCAACGAAATTAACACTAGTATGGAGGGACTTGTACGTGAGGATGAGTGTTTTGTATTGAATCCGGGACTTGACCGGCAGCCAATGTAGGTGGATGAGGGTGGGGGTGATATGGTGCCATGGCTTGGGTGAGAAGCCTGGCGGCAGAGTTCTGGACATATTGGAGCCTATCCAGGGTTTTGCTGGGAACCCCGGACAGGACTCCATTGCAATAGTCCAGACGGGATGTAATGAAGGCGTGTACCAGGGTTTCTGCCACAGAGTCAGAGAGAGAAGGCCGGATTCTGGCAATGTTTTTTAGGTGGTAGAAGGCGGATTTGGTGACAGCTTTGACATGCGCCTGGAAAGAGAGGGTGGTGTCCAGGATGACTCCCAGGTTGCGGACTTCAGTGGACGGGGAGATAGAGCAGCCGTCAATGGAGAGAAGCAGGTCTCCAACCTTCTGGAGCTGCGTCTTGGGAGCCACAATCATGAGCTCTGTTTTATTGCTGTTGATTTTGAGCAGGTTTGATGACATCCAGTTTTTTATGTCCTGTAGGCAGTTGACAAGGGATTGAGGGGGGAGCTGAGTGGACGGTTTGGTGGAGAGATAGAGCTGTGTGTCATCAGCATAAGAGTGAAAGCTGAGACCATGTTGGCGGATGATTTGACCAAGTGGGAGCATGTAGATATTGAATAGGAGGGGTCCAAGCACAGAGCCTTGAGGTACACCTTGGTTGACTTGGGCGGGAGGGGAGCTGCAGTCACTGATGGTGAAAACGTTTTTCCTGTTAGACAGGTAGGACACGAACCAGGCAAGAGCTGTGTCACTGAGGCCAAGGTAGTCAGACAGGTGGCTGAGGAGGATGGAATGGGATATGGTATCGAAGGCTGCTGAGAGGTCCAGGAGGATGAGAATGCTGATGAGGCCAGAATCAGATGCGATGAGGAGGTCGTTTGTGATTTTGATGAGGGCAGTCTCAGTATTGTGATATGGTCTGAAGCCAGACTGGAGGGGTTCGTAGAGCTCATGCAGTGACATGTGGTGTTGCAGTTGTGCGGCAACTGCTCTTTCCAGGATCTTGCTCACGAATGGGAGGTTTGAGATCGGCCGGTGGTTGTTGAGGTCCTCCGGGTCCATGGATGGCAGCTCCTTCCTGGTGATGTTCTGTGCAGTTATATCACTCACAGGCTCCGCCACCGCATGCTCACGTGTGAGCGCACGCTCCATCATAATGCTATTTTCATCACTATGGAAAACAGCATTAACCGGAGCTTTTACAGGCGTAGTGTGTTTTACTAAAGCCCCTGAACGCACCGCCACGCACTTTTTTGCTATAATGCAGCCCCTATCACCATGGTAAACAGCATTATTTGGAGTCTTATTTTCAGGCATAGAGTGTTTTCTAACAGAAAAACGTCGGCCATAATGTCCCTGTAACCGCACCGCACTATAACAGTGCTGCCTGCGGTTTATCACTCTCATCTGCGCACTCCCACTAGCCTTCTCTCTAACGGGAGCTATAGCTGGGCCGGCGAGTGGGGAATTTGTACAGTTATCAACATGTGCAAGTGTATTGTGGAAACAAAGGACACTCAGACTTGGATACAGATCAACACCATCTTTATTTTTAAAAGTCTTAACGGGGATCTGGGCATTAAACATGGAGGAGGTGGGATTCGCCCTCGTGTCCCCGGTAGAGGGAATCTTTCCCCCCACAGAGGCGCTACCTCCCCCCGCTAGTCAACTCCGGGAAGATGGAGCACCCCACCCGGGCGCTCTCTGATGCTGCGGAGCCCTCGGTCGGGCAGCCCTTCCCCGTGACTGAAGTGGAGGTCGACCCAAAGAGCCCCTCCGAAGATACGGGGGCTCCGAGGAAATCCTCTCGGTCCTTCTTGGACAGCGCGGTGAGTCCCAGCCACACGTGACGAGACGCCACTGTGGCTAGGGAAATCAGATTATTCATCTGACCCACAGCACGGTCCGAATAACCGCTCTCGTCCTGAGGCGAGACGGCGGGGGCGTCTGCCTGAGGTTTTATGACCAGGGAGACGCCCAACACGCCAAGATTATTGGCCGCAGCCGCCATCCGAGTACCGAGCTTGAACATCTTATCCAGATATTCCAGGGTGTCTCGGTCCCGGGGCAGCAGGGGCAGAGGGCGTTTACCCTCTGCCCAACCAGCCGCCCGCGGGAGCAGATGGGCCGCCAGGCTCTCATCGAGGGGGGGCACATCCGGACATGTCGTGTCCGAACGATCCACCACCTTAACGATCCACCACCTTAATGATATCGTTTTTAATGGTTGCTGCCATGTCGCCTCCACACACCGCCATACCTCTGGCAGCTGGGGCGAGACGAAGGTCGGCTGCACCGGATGCACCGGGCCATAAAGCCACGATCTCAGGCGGTTTACAGGCCTCGGTGGCAGCGGTGGGGGGAAACCTACACGCTCCGCCGCCAGAGTCATCACCGCCGGGAAATCCTTCCGCGCAGAGCTGAGAGTTGGACCTCCGGACAGCGAGGCGTCCTTGTCGTCACCCATCGGAACCGGGACCGTCTGGCCCCAAGGCAGGGAGAACCAGAATGATGTCTCCTCGCTTCCCGAATCGCCCATGTCCACGACGTCGAGATCCAGCTCCTCCGACTCCTCCTGTGGGGCAAACTTCTCCAGGAAGTGCTGCCCACGATGCTCCCTTGTGCGCCGCGGGATCACCTGGCAGGCTGAGCACGCCGGCGTCGAGTCCATACCGTCCATCGCGTGGTCGGGCCCCAAACACATGAAGCAGAAGGGGTGCGGATCAGCCCCCGCAATCAGATTCGGACATTTCGGGCAGGTCCTATGGTCCAGTACTGGCTCCATACTTTCTCTCTTTCACTTTCACTTCAGATACGTCTCAGTCTCTCGTGGAATCACTTCCGCTGCTGAAGAGAAAAGGATGATGGGCAGAAGGCGAGGCCTCCTTATATACGGTGTGATGCGCGCGCATTCAGGTAGGCCCGCCCTAGGCCGGCTATGTCTATAGAAGTCTCAGTGGGGGAATGCACGCAGGATAAGGTAGTAGAGTCCAGTAGAAGGCTCCGCCTGTGCTAATATAACAAGGGTTACAATACGTAACCCAACATTTTCACCACCCTCTGTAAAGCCTTACGATTGAGGGCGGTGCAGCCAGTCAAGATACTCTCTATGGTGCACCTGTAGAAGTTGCAGAGTATCCTGGAGTCCATGTTGAATCGCCTCAGCCTGCGGAGGAAGAAGAGCCGCTGTCGAGCTTTCTTGGTGATGGTGTGAAGAGTCCATGTCAGGTCCTCAGTGATGTGGACACAGAGGAACCTGAAGCAGCTGATTCTCTCCACCGTAGTCCCATTGGTGGCGATGGGGGCGTGTCCCTCTCCCTGCTGCTTCCTGTAATCCACAATCAGCTCCTTTGTTTAGCTGACGTTGAGATGGAGGTTGTTATCCTGGCACCAAGATGTCAGGTTTTCCACCTCCTCTCTGTACTCCGTCTCGTCGCCGTCTGTGATCTGGCCGATGACGGTCGTGTCGTCAGCAAACTTCACGATGGTGTTGGAGCTGTGTGTGGCCACGCAGTCGTGAGTGAACAGGGAGTAGAGCAGAGGGCTGAGCACGCAGCCTTGAGGGGCTCCGGTGTTGAGGATCAGGGTGGAGGATGTGATGTTTCCCACCCGTACAGCCTGGGGTCTGCCCGTCAGGAAGTTCAGGATCCAGTCACAGAGGGCGCTGTTGAGCCCGAGGTCTCTGAGCTTGATGACCAGCTTGGAGGGCACAATGGTATTGAAGGCTGAACTGTAATCAATGAACAGCATTCTCACATAAGTGTTCCTCTGGCCCAGGTGAGAGAGGGCAGTGTGGATGGTGTGGGCTATGGCGTCGTCTGTGGACCTGTTTGCTCTGTAGGCAAACTGCAGGGGGTCCAGAGAGTCAGGGATGGAGGAGGTGATGAATGATTGACTAACCGCTCAAAGCACTTCATTATGATGGAGGTGAGTGCTACTGGGCGGTAGTCATTGAGGCTGGTGATTTTTGTCTTTTTGGGGACAGGAACGATGGTGGAGTGTTTAAAACATGTGGGGACAACAGACTGCAGCAGCAGGGTCGGCGTCATTGGGGGTCATTCGCGGGCCATGCCCCCCCAAATGAGTCACTGTGCTCCCCTAACGCAGGTGCCACTTTGCCGTTTTTTTTGTTTGTAATCATATAAGTTAAAACGTTTCCACTAAAAGTTTGTTGTGTGAAATACATCAGAAATAAAGAATACAAATATGAAACACAGCCTGAGGTGTGCTCACTGCTGCTCTTTGATTGGTGTGTTGCTTGACCAATGACCCCCGACCTTTGTTTTGTTATCATTACGTGGCTGTGTGTTTAGATGAGAGCCCAGTGGCGATCTGTTCATCTGTTATACTGATTATACAGTAAAGCCATCGAAAATAATATGATATATACAGTACAGTACAAGTACATGGGTCTCTTCATTCAAGCTCGGCTCCCTGTGTGTGTGGCACGAGCGCATTTTGTCAGTGCGCGAGCGGTAACGTGGAATGTTGTTGTTAGCATCTGGTTAGCTAGCTATGCTAACGGAATAAAGAGCTGTTTCTACACCAAGGCGGAGGAGAGTCCTCTCCTGTCAGACTGAGAGGATCGTATAACCTCAGCTCAGTGAGGTAAGGACTCTCTCAATGTTTAGATAGTTAACTTTAGTGTAGGTTATCTCAGTGGGTCTCAAACGGTTTGGTCACCATTTATGTAAGCAAGTATTTTCGAGGAATAGGCTACCTTTATATGATCATGAGGTGCGCTAAATGAGCGGAACAGTCCGAAGAAATAACCTTCACATCTGTGCACCAGTTGTTATTAGTCATTACACACACACCGCCACCTTTACTTTTCCCCAAGTTAACAGTCCGGTCCTGACGAAAAATAGTGAATCCGTCAGGAACAATGGCGGAATCCGGGATAGCGGGGTTGAGCCAAGTCTCAGTGAGAATTAACACGTTACAGTTCTTAATGTCCAGTTGAAAAGCAATCCAACTTCTGAGTTAATCTAGTTTATTTTCAATGGATTGAACATTAGCCAGAAGAATACTCGGAATAGGGGGTCGGTTTTCTCGTTTCCTCAGTCTGACCAGCAACCCGGCGCGGGACCCTCTCTTGGTCTTCCTCCTGCGTCTCTCAGGTAGGACAGCAACAGGTAGGTTATTGTCCACGAAGTTTCGGATATGAAGAAGTTCCTCTCTGCTATATTGTATAGCAGAGTTGGTGCGGTCGGCTTGCATGTTGCGAACCATGTTAAAAGTAAAACGGCAAAAAGTAAATAAACACGCACAAAATACGAAAAAGGGCAAAGTTGGAGAGGATGCGGCCATCTTCACCGGCGCATTAGGGTGTTTATTGCATTCTAACCACAGCTGTTTTCCACGCAATACATTGGTGTAAAAATATAATTGTAAAAAAACAATATGTTTAAACCTTGTTGCATCATCTTTTTACATCCATATGATTTATTGTGCATGTCCTTCTTAATAATAACAGGCTCCATCACCATTTACTGTTGTGAGTGTGTGGATTTGTGAGTATGCACAACAATTCCAACTTACATCTCTTCAATCATGAGATCTGGCTTCCACAACAAATCAGCAGGAACAGTCATCTTATCAAGGCCACCAAAGTTTTGTGGTTTCCAATAAATATGCGGATCTTCCCATAGCTACACAGGAAAACAAGGAAGAAGGGAAGAAAATAAAGACCTTTAAGATGCAATCTACAGCAACTAATTTCAACCTACAGTATAATAAACAGTATAGGAAAATCACAAATTGGTTCTCAAAGCAAACTCACCATATAAATCCAAACGAAAGAAATGAAAGTCTGGTCAATCTCTTTCTGTAACCGAAGAAATAGTGTGAAAATGTTTACCACATTAAGGTAGCTGACCTTCTATATGTGAAACTGTCATAACACATTGTACTTTGAAATTAACATGCTGACTACCTTCAGCAAGTTGAAAAGAAGTAAAAGCTCCTTTGTAAACCCACTTTGTGATTTCGCTGCATTAACGGGATCACACTAAGCAAAGCCCCAACGATGTTTCTTCAAAAATTCAAGGTAGCTTTGGGGGAGAAACTGATTAAAGGTATTATTTTCGGGGTGACATAATCGTTGGGGACACTTTTTCGCACTATTCTGACTTGTATATGCTTCCTCCAATAGAGATAGTATTACGCTGTTTCCTAGAGGCACTATGTACAAGTACTGATCTGTTACAGATCGTACTATGAGGCTCCCGTCTCTTGACGCCTTTAAAAGGGCCCTCAAGTCCCACCTGTTTGCCAAGGCCTTCGGCCCCTCATTTATTTGTGGTTTCGTCTGACTGTTTTTTAAAATTGTTTTACTGTTTTTTCTGTAAAGCGATCTATGGTCCCCTGAATGGCGCTATATGAATTTAAGTTATTATTATTATTATTTAGGGGAAATGCTGATACAGCATTCCAACTATCCGTTCTTCGACGCACAAAATTCTTTATTATTCCGCCGGGTTATTTTGCACCTCTTCTTCTCCCACATTCCACATCGAAGAAACTCTGTTCAAACATCATTACGTTCAGCTCGGTCGGGTATCGATGGCTATTACTTTTATTCATAACTTTCATAATTCCAGAGATACATCCCATAATTCATCACATTTTTAACATGGAAGTCAATGGAGAAACTCTTCAGACTTGAACAATCTTCATGCAACTTCAACTGCTAACTGCTCCTTCATACTTTCACTCAGAAACCTCATTCCAACTTTAAAATATTACACATCTTTTTGACATTATTCCTGTAACACAACTTTTAAATCTGATTCATACTTTTAGAAATATTAAATTGTTCAGACCTTGTTAAAGCGGTTTTCTTCAGATTTTAGAGTGCGTGATGTCACAGCTAGAGTGGAGGACAGATTTGATTTTGCCTTCATATTTTCTTTTAAACCTGCCATAATTCCCAAACCCTACATTCCTGAGACATCATTTTTCATGAGAAACGTAGGAAAACAACAAAAAATTAAGCAAAATAATTAAACAAAATGCCTCTTGAGGGCATGAAGTGACAAAAACTTTCAACATGTCTCCATTAAAGCCCATTGTAAGTTCAGCGTCATCTTTCCCCACCACAGCAGCCGCTAGGGGTTTCACACCTATATTTACTAGTCGACAAGTTTTTCAAAATAGTAGTCGACTAGTCGACTAGTTGTTACGTCATAATAAAGACACACAAAGAGAGGTGTACAACTGTATTTTGTATTGCAATTCATACAGTTACGTTAAACATTGTAACAAAGCAGCATTTTAATTTGTGTTAAATGCTGTTACATGGCTGATTAAATTAAAAACAGTAACTGGACTCGCCAAATCTACTGCAAAAACTCTGTTAAGAACATAAATGCAACGTAAATTCACTGCGCATTGCGCAACACTTTACTCGCTATTACTGTCCTCCTCGATAACGATGTCCACCCTTCCAGGTTTTTTGTTTTGCGTTAAGGAAGAGAAAAGCATCAACATGTAATGCAATTATGCTAATGAGCTAAGTCCCGCCTCCCTTTGTTCGAGGTGTTATCACATGTAGGTGTGATATCACACGTAAGTGTAGTAGCTGTAGTAGCGCCTTTGATGTCTAATCTAATTAGCCTTTGATGTCTGTCCTTTGATGTGAGGGTTGAGGTGTTATAACATGCCGGTGTGATATTGCACCGGCATGTTATAAGCCTTTGATGTTAATCTATGTGTTGATTAAGGCAGTCTCTTTGAAGTTGTGTGTGACACTGTCTCGCACCCCGTCCCCTCGCACCCCCGTCCCCCTCCCGCCCCTTCTTGTCACCCCTTCCTGTCACACCCCCCATGTGAGGGGTGATGTGTTATAGCGTGTAGGTGCGATATGTCCCCATGTAGTACAGCTTTTGTTGTCTAATCTAATTAGCCTCTGATGTCTGTCCTTTGATGTAAGGGTTGAGGTGTTATAACATGCCGGTGTGATATCGCACCGGCATGTTATAACCCTTTGATGTCTTAATCAACACATAGATTATGTGTTGATTAAGACAGTCTCTTTGAAGTTGTGCGTGAGACTGTCTCGTACCCCGTCCCCTCACACCCCCTGCCTCTCCCCCCTTTCTCAAGGGGGCATTAAGATCTTTAACCTATTATTACCCTCTTCAAAGAGACTTCCTTGTAGTTAATAAAGTAATTAAAACATTAATTCACAAGCCATACAACTTAAGAGAACATCCAGTTCACAAGCCATACAATTTCAAAAAGAACATCCTTAGTTAACAACAACTTCATAGGGGCTTTTAAAGTTGTGTGAAGTAATTAAACATTAAAAATACAAGATCAGGGGGTCATTAAGATCTTTTAAATTATTATTACCCCTCTTCATAAAAGAGACTTCCTTATAGTTAATAAAGTAATTACACATTAGTTCACAAGCCATACAACTTAAAAAAAGAACATCTTTAGTTAACACAAATCATATTAAAAAAAACTAATCTAATATAGAGAGGACAATAAAAGTTTTAGGTGACTTAGTGAGTGAAAATTAATGGCTTTTTATTTAGTTTGAGCGTATTTCTTTTTAAAACTAACTCCACCCCCCTATCTTTCTGGCATAGGATAACAGCAAAATCAGGGGGTGACAGGAGGGGGGAGAGAAAGCGGGGGAGAAGAAGGGGTGTGAGGGGGGCGGGGGGAGACAGTCTCACACATCCAGACTCCATTTTTCATGAAGAGCCTCAGACGGAGGGTCTGAACCCGGCACAGATACTGCATCCGTTTCTTGACTGGCGCTCCCGACGGATGGCGGTAAGTTGTCACAGGCGTCTCTCTGATTAAACCCATATCGATGCGTCTCTTGGCCATTTTTCTTTTTTTGAAAGGTGACTTGATGAGTGGAAATGACTGGCTTTTTTTATCTAGTCTGCACAGATTTCTTTTTAAAACTAACTCCACCCCCACTATCTTCTGGCCTCATAGCCAAAGGAAGGGGGGTGTGACAGGAAGGGGGAGAGAAAGGGGGGAGAGGCAGGGGGTGTGAGGGGACCGGGTGCGAGACAGTCTCACGCACAACTTCAAAGAGACTGTCATAATCAACACATAATCTATGTGTTGATTAAGACATCAAAGGATTATAACATGACGGTGCAATATCACACCGGCATGTTATAACACCTCAACCCTTACATCAGGGATCACCAACTACATTTGTCCAACGGCCAAAATGTATCCAATAGACACTATCGCGGGCCAGCGATTTTTATATAGCCCATAATTTTGAAGTGGGGGGGGGGGGGGGGTGCTAGTGGAGCACGCTCAGGTACTGTGGACCGCATAAAGCTTAGCAGACTCTTCACGCTAACGAAGGATCACTTCTAGGCAGGGTTGGGAGGGTTACTTTGTAAATGTAATCAGTTACTGAATACATGCTCTGAAAGTAATCAGAATACAGTTACAGTTATGTGTCTTAAAAATGTATTCAGATTACTTTTAGAATACTTTTGGATTACTTTCTTTTTCCATAACAGATGGGTATGTTTTGATGAACAGGAGACACTTATTTTACTGTTTTCATGGCTTATCAAGAACTCAAACACAACATCTTGGTGTCATTCTGGACAGCTCTCTCATCTGCACCACACATAAAAAACATCACCCAGACTGCATTCTTTGTACTGTCTTAAAACCTTTCCTTAGAATATGTTATGAATTGTAAGGTGTCCTTGGGTGCTTTGAAAGGCGCCCCTAAATAGAATGAATTATCATTATTATGTATTATCTGAAACGATGTAATAACTTTTAAAACTTTTTCCAGTCACTTGCCCCAGGCATTCAGCAGCAGCAGGCCATTCACTTTGATTTGATCCCGTTATAAATGTCATCATCTCGACAATAAAGAAATGCTACATCAACGTTATCTTGCACATTTTATCGAACCATCTCCGTTTCTAACTTTCAATATAGTTTAAAAGAGATCTCTCTCTCTCATCTGCGTGCGGGGGCGGGGCCTCACAGACACTCTGCATCTCTCTCTCGCTCACAGACATGCTGCAGCGCTGTGCAGTGTGCACACAGTTCTGCCGGTAATGAATATTACATTTTGTGAGGACATTTTTCCACCAATAATTCCAATAAGTATTCCAAAATGTATTCACTTCAGGTTTACGAAAGTAACTGTAATCAGATTACTCGTTTTTCAAATGTAACGCCAGCTGAATACAGTTAGCACTTGATTTTTATATTCTGATTACGTAACGCCGTTACATGTATTCCGTTACAACCCAACCCTGCTTCTAGGCTACTGTCCCGCAGCTCCTGCCTCTCTGTTGGACTCTGTCGCAGCGAGGCTACTGCTGTGGTGCGGACCGCATTAACCAGACTCTTCACAACGAAGGATCAATTCTTGTTCAAGGCAGGGAAGGTTTCGCAGTATGCAGGCTACTGACCCGCAGCTGCTGCCTCTCTGTTGGACTCCGGTACTGCACCTTACTCACGAGACGTTGTAAAAAAAAAAAATGGGTGGGAGGCGAACGCAATAACCACTCCGCCAACGCCACAGTCACCCCCGTCGTGCGGGCCGGATTAGAATGTCTGGCGGTTTCGGATGTGGCCCGCGGGCCGCCAGTTGGTGATCACTGCCTTACATCAAAGGACAGACATCAAAGGCTAATTAGATTAGACAACAAAGGCTGTACTACAAGGGTGCATCAAAGGACAGACATCAGAGGCTAATTAGATTAAACAACAAAAGCTGTACTACATGGGGACATATCGTACCTACACGCTTTAACACATCACCCCTCACATGGGGGGTGTGACAGGAAGGGGTGACAGGAAGGGGCGGGAGGGGGACGGGGGTGCGAGGGGACTGGGTGCGAGACAGTGTCACACACAACTTCAAAGAGACAGCCTTAATCAACACATAGATTAACATCAAAGGCTTATAACATGCCGGTGGGATATCACACCGGCATAACACCTCAACCCTCACATCAAAGGACAGACATCAAAGGCGCTACTACAGGGGGGCATTTCACACCTACGTGTGATTACACCTCACCCCTCACATCAAATGATATCACACCTACGTGATATCACACCTACATGTGATAACACCTCAAACAAAGGGAGGCGGGACTTAGCTCATTAGCATAATTGGGGGGCGGGACCACCTGTCAGTTTTTATGCATACTAATGTGATTGAAACAGCATCATTATTACTACTAAGGAGGCTTGACCGTTGTCGGGTGACAGTGTTGCCTGCCAGGGAAAACATCTGTTCACTTGGGGTGCTGGTGGCTAGCCAGGTAGCTCCTGGAAAGCTTGGCTAAACGGGGGAAGCGGTTTGCGTTTTGTGCCCACCACTTCAGAGGGTTGTCCATTGTGGGGATATGGGGTGTCTGTCCCGTAGCTCATCCGCGCCACAGTTGACCCGTTTTTTCTTGTTGCTCTCGAAATGAGGTCAAAACAGCTGTTCAAAGGGGGGGGGGGGGAGCACGCTCGTGAACTTTTAGTGTCGGAGCTAAAACTGAAACTGTAGAGCGCATAATTGCGGCGCATTTGCACATAAGATGAGGACCCCTTAATGTCAGACGTGTTTTGCTGGAGCATTTTGCAGCACCTCAGCGCCAATGTCGGCATCCTCATCTCCCACGTTTGTCTCCATTTTGTTCACGACTAGTTGACTAGGGCCTACAGCGCCAACTAGTGGTAGAGGTAGTCGACTAGTCGATTAGTTGGTGAAACCCCTAGCAGCCGCACACCTTTAGTTAATCTGCCAAAAAGGCCACATTATTGACCCGAAAGTACACAAAAAGCACACTTCAGATGCTCAAGTTCCTTGACATGCTTCACGCTTTGAAATTTCACTGATATCTGTTACGGTTCTTCAACAACACCTTCACATGTAAGAGGTTTATCTCTCATTCAGAACAATGAAAATGCTCTCCTCTCACTGATTACTGCACATCACCATGGAAACCTTTGATCTCTGGACACGTCGTTAGCTCAAATATAAACACCTGTGTCACGATGATGTCATAACTCCAACTGCAGCAGACTTCAGATAATGGTAAATGGTCCTGCCCTCAACAGCTCTATGTCAATTATGGGGTGTCATCATATGCCGTTTCCATGGAAACGCATCCCTCGCCATAAAACACGATGTCGCTGTAACTCCAATGGACACGGTCCGATCGTCCCCCAAACTTCGCTTGTATATCACCGGTCCATGCCTCAACAGCTTTGCGCCAAATCTGAGATCCAACCATAGGTTGTTGCCATGGAAACGCATCCTTCGCCATAAAACACGATGTCGCTGTAGCTCCAATGGACAAGGTCCGGTCATCCCACAATCTTCACCTGTACATCACCTCTCCATGCCTCAACAGCTCTACGTCAAATCTGACATCTCACCATATGCTGTTTCCATGGAAACACATCCCTCGCCATAAAACACGATGTTGTCGTAACAGCACCAGACTTCAGATAATGGTTAACGGTCCAGCCCTCAACAGCTCTACGTCAATTATGGGGTGTCATCATATGCCGAAACGCATCCCTCGTCATAAAAGACGATGTCGCTATAACTCCTATGAAAATGTTCAAAAAGTGCTCAAACTTCACATGTGTGCTTAACAGTCCAGCCGTGAAGACATCTATGGGACAGTTTTGAGATTTCTTCAAACGCCGTTGCCATGGCAACACAATGCTCACCATGAAACAGTTTTCTCATAACTTCAGTGAAAATGCTCCAAACGGCCCAAAACTTCACAGGTTTGGTAACGATGCAGCCATCAACGCATCTAAGCGTATTATGGGATGTCATCAAATGCCGTTGGCGTGGCGACAGATCATTCGCCATCAAGTTTGTTCAAAAGTTTGCAGTTCAAATATTCTGCTGCTTTTCCAAGCCTTTTTACTTTCTTTTCTTCTCTCATCACACATTCAAGCCCCCAGTGTTCATGTATCATTTCAATCTAAATTCTTCTTACACATTACATTTCAGCATAGTAATTTAGCGTCAGCTTTTCAGCATAAAGCATTCCCACTAGCAATTTCTTCAGGAATTGTATTCTCTAGTTATTATTATTATTATTATTATTATTATTATTATTATTATTATTATTATTATCAGTTAGGAAGAATTGCATGCTATATTGAAAGATATTGAGCTGTTTTTTTAGGCTTTTGTTGTTATTAAACTAACTTATCCTATATTTTGATTTGACTTTACTGATACCTATTGCTTTTTTGGCTTTCATGTGTATTACCATGTGTTTGTAAGGTTCAACTGTTTTATCTTTGTTTTTGTTGTTTTTGGATGCTTTCCACAGCAACAAATAATGATTCAAAGTAGCACTTACCACACCCAGAATTGACATTTGGACATGGACCCATGTTGGTTTCTTGTAGTCTCTGGCAGGCCGGACCAACTGTTCCTTGTTTTTGGTCAGGTGCAGGCAGTTTAAAACATCTTCATAGGGGAACTTACTTTCTATTGGGAGGACATCAAAACAATATCTTTACTTCTTTATAGGAAAAACTACAAGGAAATGAGACCTCAGTTTTTTATTCATAGCTCTCTCTCTCTCTCTCTCTCTCCTCCCATGTCCTTAACCAACTGATTATGGGTGTTCACTCATTCAGTTAAACCAACAAGATGTTGCCATGATCACCATCAGCCAGTCAGTAGTTGCTGTTGGTCAATTTAGCCTATTTACCGCACCCTACTTATGTTTAGTCAACATACCCGATGCCCACATTGAACTCATCAGAAGACCACTCCTCATCACACACAGAGCTTCAGCATCTTCCTCATCTCATCATCACCAGGGTTTAGACTTCACAGGTGGGTCAGTACTCTACCTACGGCTTCACCACCAACTTCAAATATCTGGGATCACGATGTTGTCTTATCAACATTAATCATCCTTCTTGTTGGCTAACACATGTGCCACTTAAAAATAAGTCTTGTCTTATCTGTTTTAATATCCAGTGGTTGTGGTCACTGAAAGGTCATCATTAGATGGGTGTCGGCAGGACAGCAGGGATTTGTGTCATCAGTCTTCTGATAACTTTAAATGTGAGCATTTTCCCAATTATTTTTTTACATTTAAATCAGGCTCTCCATTTGAGGTCCATCTGCTCCACATTTTCAAAATTCTTCAACGTCATGCGTCATGCGTTCAACAAACCAAGTTTAGTTTCTTTATATAGTTGTTCTGTTTGCTATTCACACCAGTGACATATCTATCAGTTTTATTACCAAAAACTGTGTTAAACTTATCCAGTGCTGACAACAGACAAGTGAATTCATTTTTAAAGAGTCATATTAATAAAGTAGAACTATAATAACACATAATTACTGTGTACTTACTCTTTCTGTCATGATCACATGGCCCTTGTTGTTCCAAGTTATTGATGGTTTTTTCACATGAAAGAAAAAAGTATACAGCTCTTAAAGTGATTCAACTGAAGCAGGTTAAAGTGTTGTGCATCTGTTAGCAAAAGCTAAGAACACAATTTTAAAATATTTTCATTCTCATCGTTTAACAACTTAAAACGTGAGATTTCAAACATATAAATAAATCGAAATTCACTCACACATTTTCTCACGGATATATAAAATCTATAAATAAGATAAATCCTCTATACATTTAATTACTTGACAAATGTTGAATGTGTACATATTTGCTTCAAAGCTTTTATTTGATTCAAGATCATCCTGAAGCTCTGGTAGCTCTGTGGTATTCCAGGAACTTCCACCTGACCGAAAATAGTATACAGCTCTACATTCAGTATTATTTCAATGCACACACACAAACTGCTTTCCCGCAAAACATTTTTAATTGCATCTGCAGATATTGTTTGGTTTAAATGATTTTGAGATCACCCTCAAAGAAGGTAAATGGGATTTGTGGAGCTCACTTCACTGTAAAATAATGGTTACGTCGGACATCATGCATTCTCAACAAATTAAGCTTAGTTTCTTTATATCATTTTTTTGTATATTGTTCACACCAGTAATCTGTCACTTAAATTAAACAAAAACTACTTTGAATGATATAGTGCAGTAAACAGACACGTGTATTACTTTTCAAGACTTCTATACGTATAATAAAAATAGAGCAACACATAATTACTGTAATTTATTGTGTTTTTACACACCGTTGTTATTGTCGTCCTTTGAGTTATTGTTGGTACTTCCACCTGACAGAAAAAAGTATACAGCTTACAAAGTGATTCAATTGAAGCAGGTTAAAGTGTTGTGTAACTGTTAGGAAAAAGAGAATAGAGCTCTACATTTAATGTTATGTTCATGCACACAAATAATATTTTTTAACAATAGCAACTTCTCTTCCCAGGGACATACCTACTACTCTGAATAATCCACATACTAAACCGGAAAATTATGAAAGAGTTGGAAAATAGTTTTTTTTGTTAATAGATGTTGCTTGTGGTGTCTTTATTTTATTCTGTATCACAAACAAACCTTCATTCCCCTCAATTATATTGGAGTGGTAACAGAAACGTCCCACCTGCATGCAACATAGAATTGTCCCAGTTTACCTGTGAGGAGGAGCAGAAAGAGGAAACCTGCACACATCCTGACCCTGATCCTGGAGAGGTCAGCAAAGTAAATGAGCATGTCCTTTCTGTGTTTTTGTAGTCATAGAGATATTATTTCTACTAAAGGAGGGACGGGCAATTGATTGACCACATTTTCTTTTTTTTAACTGATTAGTCTAATGATAGAAACTTGCTAATGCAGCAAGGCTTCCAGGAACTGGCAACCATTTCAACACTCCAAATCAATTTGGATGTCATCAAATTTAAAATAAACAACACATAATCTCCGATGTGACTGATTACTGTGTCAAGCTTTTCCAACCCCCTCGAGGCACAGTTATGTCTTTATTCTTTGTAGACTTTACAGTCAATGCTTTTGATTCAGTTGCGAGTTGGACCTGAATAGTTTGAGAATACTATTTATTTATTATGGCCATCACAATATATCTGAATTTATGTATTGATTAAATGATGGATGATCCAATCCTATTGATACAAAGTGAATACATCCTTTCATATAATCTAAAGCGGTGTAATGTTTAATACCAAACCACATGATCCAAAGACAAAGGGAGCGGCATTACATATCAACAACTCGTTCCATATTTAAATTAATTTGTTATAAAACATCGGCTGAAACCTGTCAAAAAGACATTGCAATACATTTCCAAGTGGCGCCATCCCCTTTACATTATAAATCTAATCATAATATTAATAACTACGCCAAGTATAAGTGCAGTTGGATTCTTAACACCACAGTTGTCTTTCCTAAGTCCTGTTGAAGTCTTACATCATCTCTCTTTAACCCTTTGACATTTTCATTGAAGACATAAGACCTGATTTGACCACTACCAACCCTAGCCGCGGGAAGTAGGGGTGCTGGTGGAGGTGTTGCAGCACCCCCTGTTGGCGAATGGTGTACATTTGAAAAACTGAGCGACCACCTCAATAAAAATGATTAAACTACATTACATTACATTTCATTTAGCTGACGCTTTTATCCAAAGCGACTTACAATGACCAATTACAGGGACATTCTCCCTGGAGTAACTAAGGGCTAAGTGCCTTACTCAAGGGCACACTAGTGGTGGTGTTCCAGGCGGGATTTGAACTCACAACCTTCCGATCTTCAGCCCACCTCACTATCCATTTAGACCACCACTACCCCACTACATAAAATAGATATGATTTTACTTACGCATACAATGAGTACATGTTGACAAGAGTTTTTCGAGGATGTGGATTTGATCTCTGCTGAGCTGAACAGAAGATTTGATCATGATGGCATGAAGCTAGCAGCTCCCAGAGAGAACGTGCTCATTGAGGCAGCTAACAGTAGGGGCCAATAACAAACCCTGGAGCTAGAGTCTCTTCATCTTCCACAGCTAAACTCTGATGTTGACCATTACCGACTGGACCTCCAGCTTAAGATGCTTGGAGATGCCATTGGTGATTCTCCCTGTCACATGACATAGCCACAAATGTGGCTAAACTCCATCCACAAGCAAGAGGGATTTTCCAAGACGTTGAAAAACTGATACAACTTTGCCTTTGTCTGCCAATCTCGGTTGCTTCATCAGAACGGTCTTTCTCCACCCTACGCCGTCTGAAAACATGGTTACGGAGTAATATGACACGGGTCTTCATTAGTGCCACCCCAGAGAGGAAGGCTACATTTGGAGTTTTGTGAAGCCCCAACACAAGGTAAGATGATGTGTTCCTTTAATGCTGCCGCTGTGCAGTGTTTTGCATTGTCAATCAGTTAAAGTTGAATTAATCCATCCATCCATCTTCTCCCGCTTATCCGTGGTCGGGTCGCGGAGGTAGCAGTTCCAGCAGAGAGCCCCAAACTTTCCTTTCCCTGGCCACATCAACCAGCTCTGACTGGGGGATCCCAAGGCGCTCCCAGGCCAGCGAAGAGATATAATCCCTCCACCTGGTCCTAGGTCTACCCCTTGGTCTCTTCCCAGCTGGACGTGCCTGGAACACCTCCCTAGGGAGGCGCCAGGTGGCATCCTTACTAGGTGCCCGAACCACCTCAACTGGCTCCTTTCGACGCAAAGGAGGAGCGGTTCAACTCCGAGTCCCTCCCGGATGACTGAACTTCTCACCTTATCCCTAAGGGAGACACCAGCCACCCTGCGGAGAAAACCCATCTCGGCCGCTTGTATCCGCAATCTCGTTCTTTCGGTCATGATCCATCCTTCATGACCATAGGTGAGGGTAGGAACGAAAATGGCCCGGTAGACAGAGAGCTTTGCCTTCTGGCTCAGCTCCCTTTTCGTCACAACGGTGCGGTAAAGCGACTGCAGTACCGCTCCCGCTGCTCCGATTCTCCGACCCATCTCACGCTCCATTGTTCCCTCACTCGAGAACAAGACCCCGAGATACTTGAACTCCTTCACTTGGGGTAAGGACTCATTCCCTACTTGGAACTACCACTACTTGTTAAAGAAAATATATCTAAGTTATTGATATGTGTTGAATTGTTAAAGAAAAGATATCTAAGTTATTGATATGTGTTGATATTGTTAAAAGGGAAAAAGGGAGATGTCATAGTATTGTTAACTGACTACAAGGGGAGTTGTCATATATGTTACGGCATGTTTACGACAGTTACAGTAAGTGGGAGTGGCGCGAGACAGAGGCTTGTTTGGGGATGGATGAACCACCGGAGGGAGCAATAAAAGCGTCCTGTTAAATAACCAACTGTTCCGTTGTCTGTTAATATCCAAGATATTACAGTATCTACCATAGTATTTACATGGAGATAAGCAGGGGTGCACATAACTTTTTTGCCCTGGTTCTCAAAGGAGCACCTGGAGATGTTGCTTGGTGCTCATCCTTAAAATGAAATAAACCGTAACTTTTGAGGGGGGTCTTGACTTTATTTGCCAGACACACGGCACTAAACACACATGCAGAGGTGAACACAGAACACACATGCAGAGGTAAACACAAGACAACATTAGCACGACCAGTAATCCTACAAGCTGTCATCACTACCCTTCTGACTGTTCTCCTCACTGTCTTCCTCTCTGTCAGACATGGTAGCTGATGATGTAGGCCTACTACTTTCTCTCTGGTTGAGTCTGTGATTAGCTACTGGTTTTGGGTTGAAGTCTCTGTTGTCATCTTAGACAAGTGGATGTAATCAAATAAGTATGTGAACATAACCAATAACCTACCATAGTCAATAACAAATTAATGTAACTTATTTTATTTGTGTTGTTCATTCATATCTTATTTTACCTTAACATTTATTTATTTATGCATTTTTGTTTTATCTTTCCAGTTTTAAAGGATTTTTTTGGTTTACTGTCTTATAGTATACATTGGAATGATTTCAAACCTGTTTATCCCAATAATTATAAAGGAGTGCCTTGGAAATATGTGTTTACATACATTGTGATCAAAACGTTTGAGACCCACTGAGATAGTCTGACTGGAGAGGACTCTCCCTCCACATCAGGGTCGGCTCTAGAACAACTTGAATGGGGGGGGCAATCATTTACCAAGGGGGGGCACACACTGCCGTCAACAACCAACACACAAACACCAACGCAACTTCAATTTAAAAAAACATGCTGTAAAGTCTATTGTCTTTCACACACATTGCAGGGTGTAGTGCTATTTTCTAGCGCACCTATGACTTGTGCATACATGCACGGTTGTGGCACGACCACCAGAACAGAAACATATAAGGACAGAGGGTGTCGTTTTCTCATACTGATATTCTGCACAAACTGCTGTTGTATTTGCTGTAAAGTGTCTTTACTGTAGGTTATTTTTGTATTATACTGTATATACAGCACTTTGGCTCGACCAAAAATCGTTGAAAAATGTGCTATATAAATAAAACTTGATTTGATTTGATATGGACATAGGCCATCATATAAAAAGTGTGCAAATGTATTTAGTATCCTATCCATGTGAACATGTTTTAGGTGGGGGTGGACCTAACCTCCTCTAGGAGGGTCTGGGGGCATGCTCCCCCGGGAAGATTATTTTTAAAATATTGAAGTTAAAAGCATCAATCTGGTGCACTTTGAGAGCAAAATGAAGAGATCTATGGATACATCTCTCAACACCCATATGAAACAGAACTGTACACAGATTTACTTTTTCTTTATGGATATTTCACTAATCATTCCCCTTTTAAACTGTATTCTTGTGTTACTGTCCTATAGTATTTCATACCCGTTTTTCATTTATTCTCTCTTTAATAACTATAATGATCATATAAAGGTATTCCTCAAAAATACTTACATAAATGGTGACCAAACCGTTTGAGACCCACTGAGATAACTTACACTAAAGTGAACTATCTAAACACTGAGAGAGTCCTTACCTCACTGAGCTGACGTTATAAGATCCTCTCAGTCTCACAGGAGAGGACTCTCCTCCACCTTGGTGTAGAAACAGCCCTTTATATCCGTTAGCATAGCTAGCTAACCAGATGCTAACCACAACATTCCACGTTACCGCTCGCGCACTCACAAAATGCGCTCGTGCCACACACACACAGAGCTTGAATGAAACACAGAGACCCATGTACTTGTACTGTACTGTATATCATATTATTTTTGATGGCTTTACTGTATAATCAGTGTAACAGATGAACAGATCGCCACTGGGC